CTTCCTCCCTCCCTCCCTTAATTCCATCCTTCCTTCCTTTCGTGATAAAACGCCTCCATATACGTGAACCTCTAAATCATTATTTCTTTCAGAGTTCAATAATCAGTCAGATAATCAACATACGTATGTTCCTAGAGGTTATTCTATCAGTACCCTTCGTTATATCGGTACGTATCTTGATAAATAAGCCATTTATAGCGATAACTACACCGCCCAAATAGTACACCACCGTAATTTGACGTTATGGCCGCCGCCATTGTGGTTGACATTGACAAAAGAATTGGTCTTGGTGTCTTTCATGTGTCTTTTATTCACAAGGGAAGGGATAGAATAAATTCATAAAATATAAGTTATAAAACTGATGTATATTTTTGTTTTATTTTACGAAAATTTATCTTCTTTTTTAAAATTTCTTTTTAAGATATTCTGGCCGGAAATCAGAAACATATTTATTCCCTTGTTCCTCAACTGCTGGCTGGCGAAGGCAGCACTAGAAACGATGTTTGTAAGTAATATGTGGCACTATAAGATGAGGGTCTCTCTCTTAATCTCCACTCATGATTATCAGAGACTGTTGGGTACGCATTAGTAAATGTCCAGCAGTTTTCAATTATTGACGGTTATTCAACTAAAACGATTTTTAATCGGCTTAAAAAAAATTCCTTTTTGTAGAAAAAAATTGTATTTGCTTTCCTCGACTCTTTTCGTGGCACTTATTAAACGGATTATTTTAGGCTAAGCCCAAGGGGAAGGTTATTTAGTTATAATTTATTTTATTGCTTTGCTGTCTGTGTTAAATTGCCAGCTTTAAAGTACTGTCAAAAGTTTCCTTTTGAATGTAAAAATTTGTCTTCTTCAAATATTTCGTACAAAATRATAGAATAAGATTTAAATTTTGATACTTACTGAGTTTGCGCATAAATACATGCAGCGGCTAGTTTTTGCAAAATGCATCCCACATGGAAAGGAATGACCATGGGAGCCTAGTCATGAGTGACACAAGCGAAATATCAGGTATGCTGGTCATAGCAAGGGGTTAATCATTTATGGTCTAGGGGCCGACTAACCTCTCCCTCAGGCTTTTGCCGAGCTTCCTGATCAGTCTGTAAATCCTCCCGGGGATAGCGGTGTYGGGGTCGAAATCTCTGGCATASCYGTAAATGCTTTGCGCTGCCATACGACGCTTCAGCATTCGGGTCTGGGAGTATGGTCTTCGGTTATTTTTATTTAATCAAAAGAAAGTTAAAAATAATCCCCCCAAAAGTTCTGGCTAGCCGATGAGTTTCTAAATGGCTAAATCTAGAAAAAAACGAGCAATATCCTAAGSTGCGCATGCGCATTTTAAGGTGGCTGCTTACAATTGAGACAGTAAGGCGCAGGTCGAGCAACTCTCCCCAGATATTTTTGACAAATCTCTAATTCAATATTTTCTTCTCTAGAATGATTTGCATAGACTAGTCCTTCGACAACAATCAGCTTTGTCACAAAAGTTACTTATTCTCTGTGGTACTGTCTTCTGTATTCTTTTTACAAGGTATGAAAAGGTTTTCTGCATTGGTAGTATGAATATTGCTGTTTGAAGAGTTAAACAAATAAAATATACTTTAGAAACTTGTTCTGAAAAGAAGGAAGAGAAAAAGGAAGATAGGAAAAGAAATTTATAATAGAAAGAAGTGATAAGAATAGAAAAGAAGGGAAAGGAAAGAAAAGAAAAGAAAAGGAAAAAAGAGGGAACAAAGGAAAAGGAAACAGAAAAAAAAGGGGAAAAAGAAAGAAAGAAAGAAAGAAAGAAAGAAAGAAAGAAAAATAGATTCAAGAAAGGAAGAAAAAAAGGCCAGAATGAAACGAAGAAAGCACAAGTAAATAATATATATATTGGAACTGAAGAAAGAGAACAGTGTTGTTCCAACTATTATTTATTTAGGGACCATTCATTTTTTAGGAGGGGGTGGGTCGGGGGAATCCAGGGGAGAGCCATTAAATTTCTACTCAGTCGAAAAGGGGACCATCAAATATTTCATATTATCATATAATTATCCATAAAATACCTATATTTCTCCTTTTCGAAAAACTGATATTTTCANAAAAAGCTTATTAAGTTGATTTTATGGATAAATGTATAATAAACAGAATATTACATGGGCGCTTAGAGATACGAAATTTATCTTCTCGTGTTGAGATCTTTTCAACACTCGAAGATAAATTTCGTATCTCCGCGCACCCATGTAATATCCTCTATTTACATAGAGAAGAGGGACAAGAATTCAACAAATTTCAAGAGGAGGGTCACTTTTTATGCAGACAGAAGAAAGGGGGTCTAAAAATTGTATTTTACTGTTTATAGGGATTCCTCCGGCCCCCTCCCCCTCCCTCCTAAAAAATGAATGCTCCCTTAATCCATTTTCATTTCTCTAGTGTGTGTGGTATTCATCATTCTGAGCGAGCATCAGGGAAATGGTCCTTTTTCGATACAACGTGGTTCGTTGTGGTAACGTTCAGTACCGTTGGTTACGGAGAAATAACCCCAAAACACTGGACGACACAGACGTTCGTCATGATTATGATTGGCATCGCTCTTGTTATGCTTCCTATCGAGGTTTGAACTAACACAATGATAGCTTGACTAGACACGTGGAACATGTAGTGCGCATGCTCAGGGAAATGGCGGGAAAATTTTATATGGCCAATAAATCCTTTTTTGAGATACGAAATTTTTATGTTTTGATAACTCGACACGTCCGCTCCGTTTCCCGCCAAAATAATGAGCATGCGCATTACAGATGAGGTTGCGCAGTTTAATTGTACCTTGCTTACAAGATCGCATTGAATTTTCCTCAGCGGCTTTTGTTTTCTTTGATCATTTTTATTTTTATTTCTCTAGGACGCTTTTYAGCGTCTTCTAACCATCTCCCCTTCTACTCCTCTCCCTCAGTATTACCATAAGTTTTACAACAGTCAAACCCTTCCAAAGACCTTACATTTTCTTCTCCTTTCCTTACCCAGCTCGAGCAACTGGCCTTTCTACTGTTTAGTAGACAGAAAGAAGGCGGGGCCTACAGTACATTATTRGCGGGAACGACAAGACACGTGGTACTGTGTTCAACAACGTTGCGCGCGGTCACCGTGATTGACTTCCTAAATGAGTTTTATGCTGATCCCAAACTTCAGGTAACTTTTGAATAAAGCAAACATGGACCTCTCTCCCTTCGTTGTTTGTTGTGCACATTTCAGACCCTGTGATGCCACTCTTGGGAGTTGATTCTTTCATGTGTAAATATTTTAACATGTTCGTCAGAAAAGWACAATTCTCAAGGGAATATCATATGATCTCAAATGGGCAATTTCCATACGAAGTTAAAAAGGTCTTATAGTTGGCCTTCATTTGTGTTCGTGTTTATCAGCAACACTTTCTCTCCCATCCCARGGGGTTGTCTACTATAACAGGAAATAAAGTGGAAATAGATTGTCCTGACCTATTTTAATCCATATTTTAGGACGTCCATGTGGTGTTACTGTGTCCATCCGAACTCGACAGTACCCTACGTATCTTACTCCAAGTACCAGTCTGGGCTCAGAGAGTCACTTACCTCAAGGGCTCGGCCCTCATCGATGAGGACCTCATACGAGCCAGGTATTTATTTATTTATGTATGTATGTATTTATTAATACACGAGAAAATAAGCATTGGGTTTTGAAAATTTTAGGGAGGGGAGGGGTAGGGCTGGTGTCTACACGTTAAGTATCTCTCCTTAAATCGAGCTCAAATTTCGGAAATTCAAGATTTTCTTGGACGCATAGTTGAGTAAATGATAAGGAAAGGTTAGTCATGACTAGGCATTATAAATTTAATAAAGAAAAGTGGGCTTTAAAAGGGTTTCGATCCGTACAATCCACTTGAGTGAAGTCCAGTCCAAGGTTCATTCCAGGCTACGATTCCGGATTTTCCAAATAAAATTTTCACGGATTTTGAAAATTTAAACGTAGGGTGTTTTAAAGGGTATTGCTGCTTCTATTTTTAGGGTAGAAACGGCAGAGGGATGCTTTATTCTTGCTGACAGATAYGCCGCTGACCGCGAGGCTGCCGTAAGTGATTCCATCCATTCAGCTCATGTTTTGATTKCTCAATATGAATCAATTTTCACTGGTTTCTCGCATATGCATAGARGATTCAATAACTTAGAAGAAGGAAGCGAAAAATGCTTGTTCTAAGGGAAGAATTTAAGATTTAAGGTGTGTTTATGTGGGGGAGGGGGTAGGGGCRGAGTTGGAGGAACAACGGTTGAGGCATTTGTTATTTTGTTTCAGGATCAGCATACCATTCTACGTACTTGGGCCGTWCAGGACTTTGCTCCTGCCACGCCCTTATTTGTACAAATTTTAAAGCCAGAAAATAAGTTTCATGTCAGCTTTGCAGGTTGGTCACGTGGCAGTGTCGTAGGGAAAGAGGGGGAGGTTCTCCCTATTAAAAGTCTCCATTCTATGTTTTTTGACGTGAAAAACTGTCAAAATATTTGATAAATTCTATATCAAAATTSTTTAGATAATATAACGGCAAAATATAACACAACGTTGGGGCTAAAAGTGTCTCTCAATGTTTTATACTGATGGGGTCCCTGTGGAATTGGCGGGGACTTTTGGTGCCAAAGCGCGCACCCTCAAACCTCTCCTCTCTTGGACACATTCATTTTAGAACTACTACGGTCATATTTAAGTTAATGGACTGTTGATATGATTATCTGTATTAATGTAGATATATCATATTTATCTAATATTTATCTTATGTATGTTTTTGATAATTTCAGAGCACGTGGTTTGTGAGGATGAAATTAAACACGCGCTACTCGCGAGTAACTGCGTGTGCCCTGGAATATCTACATTTGTTACACTACTTCTACATACGTTACACGAACAGTAAGYGAAGTCATGTTTTATAGTTTACATGGAGATCAGTAGATATAAGGTCAAACCTATCGTCATATTGCGGGGGCGATTTAGAGGGGTGGGGTGGGGTTTCTGGACTTTGTTCTCACGATAAATATATCCGAAAATAGAAGTCAAATTATAGAAATAAATGAACTGTGTACTTGTATTTCAATGATACAATGGTATTTGATACGACTGTGTACGTTTTGTCAATGATACAATGGTATTTGCGTATAGAAATAGACACTACAAATAGACATTCAAGCAGATCTCTGAGGGGTAAGGGGTCAGGGGGAATCTATAAACACCGATAACACCTAAATAAATGAATAAATATGCGGTCCCTGTTTTGATTTTGGACCATCGTTTTTACCTTCTCCCTTAAAACAGGTAAAATACAGATTTATACTTTCAAATCGCARTATTCTACAATTCATATTGTATAACTTTAATTTAAAAAAGTAGAAGCAAGAAAGTACAATTCTATTGTTTCATCTCTGCTCTCTGATTGGTTATTCACGTGACTAGAGCCAGAGTACAGCTACAGTATCTGCGCAGTAACATGACCAAATGTTCTTCTTTAGGCAAGGTTCAGAGAAGTGGCACGAGATGTATGGTAAATGTTCTGGTAACGAGATCTACGACATTCGCCTGGGTGACAGTAGAATTTTCAGACCTTACGCGTACAAGAGCTTTACTCATGCTGCTTTCCATGCTCATAA